AAGGTGCACGTAAGGCCGAGGGGAGCTGTTCGCTGGAGTATGTGAGCGTTGAGGGGAGGTACGAGGACGTCGCGCGGTCAGTCGTACTTTACGTCGAACGGCTGTAGTACGGGTTCGGGGAAAGGGCGCCGTAGAGAGTGCGGATGCGGAGGTCGAGCGAGGGCGCGGCCGCCGGCGCCAGATGGGCGGAAGGTGTGGCGCGGGGAAACGTCGGTACCCATTGTCGATGTGCGAGCGCCATTTGTCGTCATCGCATTCTAGACCATGGAGAGCCGAGGTACGCTCACCGAGAACACTGATGTAGCTGCATACAATCCCGACGACGGTCCGAAGTCGCATCACGTTTCAAGTGAACTCTGTGGATAAGGCGGATATAGAACTGCACAAGTTCAACCTTCTTCGAGAAAACCTTTTGACGACGAGTCAACTTGCTTTGCGCGCACTGGCGTAAAGCTGTTCGAGTACTGGTACCATCGGAGGATCGATAGCGTCAGTACGGGGATGCGGAAGTAAGAGCAACAACAGTGAACACTGCTTCAAATTCAAGATACCTTGGGTCACTCGGGTATGTGGCAGTGAACGCGGGTGGAAGTCCATGATGCCAATGCTGATGGTATCGGCAGAGGCGAGCTGGGGGACTGCAAATGAAAGTGGTTATATTATACGAATTCGAACGACAGGGGGTAGTCCTATAATCATCGCGATGCGGCTGCGCAAGTAAAACATAACGTCAAAATATGGCTCGTATATTATGAGAGGAGTATACTCACCGCTAACGCGTGCAATCATTCAGTTCACAAAAGGAACGATGATCGAGTTCGTGCCCGGTGTGTCGCAGAACCCGCCAGACAACTTGGTCCCGCAGCTGGACAGCTGGTTGCAGCTCCCGCTGCACCCGCCATGGTCGCAGAACGACACGTCCGCCGACGCCATCAGGCACGACGTCCCAGACGCGTCCAGGCACGTGTCCGGCCCGCTGTACACCTTGCACGAGCCGCCGCAGACGTTGCCCGACCGCTTGGTGCAGTAGGTGACCGTGACGCTTTTGGCGCGCTTGGAGGTGGCAGGGCCGACGTATGTGATGTTGGCGTCGGTGGTCGCGAGCCAGGTGAGGAACTCGCTGTCGGTCACCATGCGGGCAGACTGGAGGACGGGGAAGAGGTTCAGTCAAAAACGCTCGTATGAACACGGGGGAATTCATTCGCACCGTGGTGGGCGTCGCCGATCCTTGGGAAGCGAGGGCAGCGAGAGTGGTGACAACGAGAGCAGCGAAGGAGGTAGTGAAGAGCATGTTTGAGATGGTGCTGAGTGTGATGGTGTGCTGAATGGTTGAGTGGCGATGTGTTGCTGGAGTACCGTTCCCCCGCTCACCCTTCCAGCTTAAGTACTGTTTCTCGAGCTCATTGACACCAGTGCTCGGCATGCGCTGGTATCCTGCAAATAGCCCTCCACGTCATGCAGAGCAGCTTGTAGATGCGCTGTGGAGTGATTGCAGAGCCTAAAGTGGGGCATCGATCACAAGAGCGGTGAGTACAATCGCCTGCTAAATCCGCTCAGGCAGAAATTGGCCACTCATGAAGCTACTTTTTGCGCAGCAGAAACGAACAGGACTGAGGAGGGCACTGCTCAATCGTCATTGTAACACTGCTGTTTGATGATTATGTGGAGTATATCTTGGAGTGCTGTCTGAGTCGCTACAACGGAATCAGCATGCAGAATGCTCCTGGCAGATGCTCCATACCTTTTCACTGCGGTGGTGCGGTAAGATCTCATACCGCTCGCGCGTCGTAGTGGACGGATATGGCAGGAGTGAAGCAGGAGGCGCCGATGCCATCAGGCTCTCGGCGCTCGCAATTTTCAAGCGGCGTATTTGGTAATCGTGGCGGAGCTCATCTTTTAGCCTGTCGGAGATTCAACCAGATTCAAGAGTGGCACAAGCGCTTCAATGTCTTCAATCGTACTAGCTCAAATACTACACGAGTTGACGTTGAACTGATGAATCGCCGGGCGACCGCGACCATGTACTTCCAGGTACTTCCCGGCTGATCCCACACCGTGATCGTCAACGGGACTCAACGCGGCGCCCCCACCAGACTCCGATGCCGCCGTGATCGTCGACACGCCATCGCGCTTCCAAGTACGAACGCGTCCGCTCGCGCGAAAGTGCAGCCCCTAGTGGGTGCCCCCGGCGAGCGTCACGGCCTCTCCCTGACAGCACAAGAAGAATGGCTCCGTGCCAGCGCATCTCTTCCGTGTTGCCTCCAGGTGATTAGGCCGGCTCCTCACGCCCGTCCGCTGCCAGCTCATCTCTTCTGTGCTGTCGCCAGCACGACTCGAGCATCTTCGAGATCCGCTCTGTCTTTTCCCTTTCTCCCCCGCAGCGTGTCTCAAACCCTGTCGAGACGCTCAGCTCAAGCTCGAGTTGCGCCGACGACTCACATGATTCTAGATGATCCACTTGTGTCGGATCCCCTTGACCGATCTAGTCTATGCCTCACATACTTTCCGTCCGCACTTACAAGAAGGCCGTCGCAAATCCGCCGAAGCCCGAGCCACGGAGTTTTACGATGTCAACGAACTTCGTCTCAGCTAAGGATAGGAAGTTTCGCGTAGCCATTGGGTAAAGTGCCCTGCATCTGAGTACTATGACACGAGGTGACATGTCAGCAGCATTGGCTTTGGCGGACTCATCTTCGCTTACTATCTTCAGCTCAAATGCCCGGACACTGACGTCACCACCGCTCTACGAGGCTGGCTGGGCGAAGCTGGGTACGTAACACGTCTTCCAGGATCGTCATGACTTGCTGACGCACGAACCAAGGTTCAGGTGCTAAGCAAGCTTCGAGGTTAGCCGTGAGTCTCCGCACCTCGAAGTTTCATACATCAACCACTATCCGAAGTTCGGGACGGCTTTCCCTTGCTATTATCCTCGTCCATCCGCTCGTTATCGTCTCCACCCTCTCAGGGGCCCTGCGTATATACGGCGCCGTCCGCCGTCCGATCGTACTGTGCATGAAGAAAAGCTCGCGCGACATGGGTATCGCGTATGCCCGGGGCGGGGACGGTTGGGGAGACGTTTCGGCAGAAGAGAGCGTGCGAGGCGGGTTCCCCGAATAGAACCCCTATAATGAGATGGAAGCACGGATCGCGTGGGTTAAGGACACGAGTGCAGTGGGAGTCGAAGAGAAACCGGGTGAGGGGAAGCAGGTACGAAGAATGTTTCGTTTTGCACGCTGCCCGTCGCAACAAACCGGATGAGTCGCCGCATATAACCTATCCCATGCATTTCAGTCAACGACATTTCAACTGAGACTCGGCTGTGCGCGGAATTTGAGAATGCTTCGCCCCTTTCTTCCTCTTAGATGGAGGTCTCACCATCTGCGGAGTCATCTCAGCTGTGGGTCGCATTTTGTGGCATCAAATCGACCCACTCTGTAGTCGTCGTCGACCACCACCGATGCCGCGCCGGACGTGCCTGGACCTTTTCTGCATCCGCACTCCGCTGACAGAGGGCGGGCCACCCAACTGCCCCGTCCCCGCCGACTCGGATTCATTGTCGTTCGATTCCGAGCCTGCCATCTCGCGCTGAGACAGCCCGTGGACGAAAAGGCCACCGGGCAGTGACGTGTGCGCTCGTGAGCGTGCGAGCGAGGGGAAGCAGAGCGGCGTCGGGCGACGGTGGACGAAAGACACCATGCGTGGATCCCTGCCGCCGACATGCCGTGCGGCTACCAAACCCAAAGTATGCACCAGCGAGCGCGGGGACCATGCGCTACTACTCGGCGTGAACTGGAGCTCTGGAAGGGAAGTGAGCCGTCTATTCTAGGGCCCGCAGTGCGCACTGCGCGCGCCTTGGCGAACGCCTGATCAGGGCTAAGCAAGTGAAGTTGCGGTTGATAAAGAGTCATATAAGTATGGTTTATTTCAATCGTTCTCGATAGGTGTCGACGCCCCCCGAGGTTTGGCATACGGCGAAAGGACGCATCATCGCACTCGTGACCACCCCCGATAGTGAGGATGCTAATGCACGCGGCCGCAGCGGGTTCGGTAAGTATTTCGCCGTTCCCTGCCCGTCGGACACGGCCCTCAAGAGAGCATTGAGTACATCTGCCATGCGTGGATAATGTGCGGCTCACCGTAGACGACCATAGGAACGCCGCCGTGAGACGCCGCCGGTGGGAAGCCTTTGGTCGGCGGCGAAGTTCGTGGGTCCGGAGCGCGGGAAGCTTGGAGAGTCACTTTCAGCGCGAAGCTTCTCAGTGTCGGCACTTTCGCCAAACTCGCTATCTCTTTGTTCTGGTCGCGGTCTCAGTGTCGGGGCCTCGGGGAGAGAGATGAGGGGGCCCGAGAGCGCTGAGCATGGTTATATCGCTCGCTCGCACGACGACGATGACGAACCGGGCGGGGATGTGGAAAGGCCGAAACGAGGACGACAGCGAGCCAGCAAGCGCTCAAGGCCGCTCGCCCATTGGAAGGGGCGAACCGCGGCGCTTGTTTTCCCGCGCAGACCGCGGTTCCGGATCGCTTCCTGTCCTCGAGCCACGACCTCCTTTTCCCCCGGACCCGACTAGCTTACCATCCGGCATATCCGTCGAGGCGAGCTCGGGCAGTGGTAGGTTCACTGGCGCTCTTGAGCACTGCAGTACCCGTTTCAACCCTCTGCACTCATCATTCCTGCAGAAGTACAGATTCGGTCTATTTCTTCGGCGCTAAACCCCAGTTTTCAACCTTGGCTGCTACGCTAGGGTAAGACTGCCACGTCAATTTCCTTCGCTCTGCTCGAAAGTCTATACTTGGCCGGTTATTGTCTTGTCGCTCGTCCATGCTTTGCACTAGAGCATTGGGACCGAAAGCGCCTCCAGTGAATAGCGCCGCCGCCGGAGAAGCGTCCAACAAGCGGCGTTAATGATCCCATGCGCCCAGGAGTATAAAATGGCTCCACCGCCCAGCCGCTTGCTACAGGTCGCCGACGCTTCTTCTCATCGGAGCGACAGCCAGCCATGTGGAACCGTGCTCTTCTCGCTTTCACGCTTCATGTGGCTTGCTCTCTCGCTGCTCCTGCTGCGACCCACCACCCTAAGCCGCCCACGATGAAGCTCGACGACGCGACCGTCGTCGGCGTATCAGACGGCTCCACCCGGTCTTTCCTCGGCATCCCCTTCGCTGAACCTCCGTGAGTGGCCTCATACCTTTGCCATCGAAATGGATTTTCACGTCGGCTCTCGCAGAACCGGGGACCTAAGGTTCCAACTCCCCAAACCCCTCTCCGGCTACACAGGGACGATGAACGCGACCAGTTTTGGGACCCAGTGCATCAACGCGTTCCAGCTGTCGGGTCTCGGTCTCTTCCCGCCATGGGCCACCCAGGCAATGAAGGACTACTTCCAAGTCTTCGAAGTCCCGAATCCGTCCACTTTCGGAGAAGACTGTTCGTCGAGTATACAGTCCTTTTATGAAGACCGACTTACGATCGCCTGCAGGCCTCAACTTGAATGTCATCGTCCCGGAGCACGTCAAGCCGGGAGCAAAGTTACCTGTCGTTGCTGTGCGTACACGCTTTGAACTCGTACGATAGCGGGCATCTGATTTTCTGTGACCTAGTACATATTTTTCAGTAAGTCCTTTCGATGCAAGATCCGCACAGACTCCGCTGACAGTCCTAGGTGGCTTCCAGTTCAGTGGCTCGTACAAGTACGTCTCATCCCAGCTCTTGCAAGGGGACGCGACTCTGAGGCGCTTTTTCAGCGTCGACGGGCGCATCATGGTCAACAAGTCAGTGGAAATAGGGGAGCCCGTCGTCTGGGTTTCGATGAATTATCGGTGAGTCGATTGGACGTCATGGCGCTGACAGAGAATTTACTGACAGGCGTCTCGCAGCGTGGGCCGTATGTGCGCTCGTTGATCGCGGGAGACTGTGTACTAACGCCGCCTAGCGTACGGATTCTTGCCAGGAAAGGAAATCAAGGAAGCTGGCGTTGGCAATCTCGGGTTGCAAGATCGTGAGATCGTTTCCCTCTCGTGTCCATTCCCTACTGAAGCATCCCCGTTCAAAGAACGCCAGGCGCTCCGTTGGATCCAGCAATACATTCACCTCTTCGGCGGTGATCCCGAGCGCGTGACGATGTGAGCCAGAACCCCCTCTGTCTGAGCGGTTGGCGCTGATGGCGTGTCTTCTTTCAGTCTAGGGCTTAGCGCAGCCGGTGCGTCGACCGCCCTCCACCTCGTCGCGAACGGCGGCAACAACGAGAACCTCTTCCACGGCGCTTGGGGCGAGTCCGGCGCCCTCCAGCACGTGCTGCAGATCGACGACCCGATCAACCAGAAGCTCTACGACAACTTCGTGAATGCCACCAACTGCACGGGTACACCGGATACCTTGCAATGTCTGCGCGAGGTCGATGGAGATGCGCTGGAGAACCTCGTGGGCAACTCTGGAACGGATTTCTGGGCGTTGTCGGCAGACGGGACGTTCGTGCACGATCTACCTCAGCTGGAGCTGATTCACGGCCATGTCGCTGAAAATGTGGCGGTTGTGCAAGGTTAGGACTTCTGTATTGTATCGTGCTCATGACGTGTGAGGCTGACCACGGACCGGCCTTGCCAGGTATCTCTGAGGATGAGGGCACAATCGCTGCCTTGCCCTTCGTCGATGGCGTGTAAGTGTTACCACCGATCGTTTTATGGCCTGAGGTCCTCACGTTGCGTTCTTCAGAAACGACACTTTGATCGCCAACTTCGTCCGGGCGGTTTATCCCACCGTCACGGACGATCAGATTCAGGAGCTCCTCAAGCTATACCCGAACGACCCGGCCCTTGGCGCCCCCTACAACACGGGCGACCGGTTCCAGCTTGCACCCGAATTGAAGCGCGCGGCGTCCATCACCGGCGACATCGATTTCGACGCCCCGCACCGGCTCATTTCGCAAGTCCTCAGCGACAAGCAGCCATTCTGGTCGTACTGTGCGTATTTCCTGCCTGTCACCAGGACGCCGCACTGGGTGCTAACGCGATGCGCGCAGACTACGAGCGCAACAATGTGCCCGGCTTCGGCTCGGTGAGTGGCTCTGGCTACGCCCGCTGTCGCCCAGCGCACTAACTCCGTCGCCCCACCGGTCTCCGCAGACGCACGGGGCGGAAATCCCGAACATGTACGGCGGCGGGGACATGTCGGACCTCCTCATCCACTTCGCGAACTACTTCAGTCCGAACGGGCGGAGTGGGGACGCGCCGTTCTGGCCGCGGTACACGACGGCGGAGCCGACGATGCTGGTGTTCACGGGCAACACGACGTTCGCGTACAAGAACGACACATACCGCTCGGAGCAGATCTCGTTCCTCAACAAACTCAACACCGAGTCGTAGACATGCCCAGTCGTTTCAGCTGATACTTATCCAAGTACTCGTACATCCGCCGGTTTCCATTGTAATTGCCTCCGTTTGCCATAGGCATCTAGTACTAGACGGACGACAGAGCTCTGTATCTGTTGTTTACCTTACCCATTGTCTTCAACAGCACATCTAATGCACGGGTGTCATTCTTTTGTTTGTTTTTCCAGAATGGCGCGTGCCTGAGTGCGAGTTATTGACGTCATCCGGCCCAGCCCGGCCCGTCCGCTCTGAACAGGCGCTTGAACGAGAGAGCTCGAGCGACGGGTCTCTCCAAATGTTCTTTTCTACTTCTTCCGCTCATGCATTCCCCCTCCTCCTCCCAGCCACCCCTAAAGCTGGACCAATGCGGTTGTGCAAGATCCCATAGAAAACTCTCGCTCTGAAAAGCTTGCAAGAAGCTGTGTTCTTCGCTACGAAGGAGGCCTGCCGCCTTGAAGATGCTGGGCATCCGCGAATCCATAAACAGCTCAACACCTCGACGTGGATGACACTCAGCTGCTGCCTCTTCTTTTCGTTGCGTCGTCCTACTAGTGGTGCTGGGAGGAACAGGAGGTACGCAAACCGTCCCCAAAAACTCTCTATGTGTCTCATTTACGTCAATGCGCAGAACGACAACTCATTATGTCATGCATTGACTCGTACAGCTCCAGGAACATCTAGATGGACGCCGGCTGTAAATGGTGAGCTTGCTTTTTCGTCCCTGTGAACAAGTCCCATCGTATGCGCTCTATTTTTCGACACGTCCGGCCCTCAGATTCACAAAGTCGAGCCGACAGGACCCTCCCGACCGCACAGGCACAGACGTTCTGACGCGGCCCTCGCGGCATCTTTCTTCTCCGATTATGCCGCAGTGCCGTTCACGGCGTCCCGTCCGGCGGTGTTGCTAGATGGACGGATGGACGACATACTTCGGCTGCGAACTTACCGCATCGCCGCACCGTTCATAAATGTTCATTATCTCGGCCCACTCCTCGGTCGTGACCCCGAACCGAGGTAGAAGGACCCCGGTCTCGCGCTGTCTGCCACAACTCACGGTCAGGAAAAACCGCCGGATGCTGCGCGAGCCCGAGCTGACGGCGTTCCGTGAACAGAAGCGTTCCAAGAAGCGAGGCGCAGAGACGTGGAAAGACGCCCCGGACACCTTCGCGGGGCTCGGCACGGCGGCACGGTCTTTCTCGAGGTGAGCGATTGTCTATGCCCAAAATATCAGGCTCCACATTCTCCGCCCGCTGGGTCACATCAATATCACATCTTTTCGGGGCGGAGATGGGGACATTGTGCGAGATGCGTGTCCGTCGGACGGGCAATGGCAGCTATGCGCGTCCGAGTATCTTCGTCGCTGTCACGACGTCGCGCTCTGTCGTCGCAGCGGCTCCACAAAGCGCACCGCAGCGGTGCTATAAGCGTGAAGCGCTGGCGCTGACGCACCGAGCACCCGTCGGGATCCTTGGGTTAGTCCGGTATTGTATTGTGTCAGCGACTTCGCAAAGTCGCTGTTTGCACGGCTCGCCTGGAAGCGCGGGCATCGTGCGATCCATGGAATTCGCTCTAATAGGTTTTTTTATCTTCGCTTTCTTGCAATGGTCTACTGCCATCCATCGGTTGACTGACAAGTTATCTACATAGTGACAAAGTCCTTTTGAAAATCCGCTCCAAGAGTATCTCAAGCACGTGTAACTGGCGTCGATGCCCTCATAGCTTCGCAAGCGCTATCAATACTCTGCTTGGCCCCGACATTGTATAGAATCCCATCTGTACGAGCGAAGGACGAGATCGCATCCTCCACATTCACTAGCACCCTATAATAAATGTGTACGTGAGTAGTCAAGTACCCAATGTGCTAGCATGGGCCCACCTGCTGAATGCGACGCGGTTGATTCACGCTCATAGAAGAACGAACAAAGTTCAGTTCGCCGGGCGAAATATGCCCAACAGCCTCGTTACGAAAGAACTGTACCTTACCGGGAACAGATCGGACAATGGCCCTTTGAGGTCTTCGGATGCGCCGCCTGTTCAAGAAGCAGTCTGGCAACATGGCACACCCACCCCGCGGATGCGGTCTTAGGCGGGAACGATCGAAACCACTCTCCAACTAGAATCTGCTGAACGCCTTCTCACTAGACATCACTCCCTTGCAATATAAGGACGAAACGGCGAAGGGTGCCTCTTCAGCGCACCGTTGACAGCTTGCAAGATGCGCTTTGCCGTTCTCGCCACGCTCACTCTGGGCTCTCTCCTCGCGTCTGCATCTCCCCCGCCTACACGCGTGGAGCGTGGCGCGCCTCAGTCCAACATTCACCATATCTCTCCGCCGTTCCCGCCGGGCTTCAAACCGGTCCTTCCCCCTCCTGTTGGAAGGAAACCCGTCTCGCCCTCAAAGCTGCCCACTCCGACGGTCCGTCTGGACCTCGCCTCGGTCGAGGGTACATACGATGGCCACACTCACTCGTACCTTGGCATTCCGTACGCCCAAGCTCCGTAAGTATGTACTGCTCCTCCAACAGATATGTGTCGCTGACTCTTCTATCCCGCTCAGCGTTGGCCATCTTAGGTTCAGCGCTCCAGTTGCCAACAGCCCTTACACCGGGAAGATAAATGCCACGGCGTTCGGGAACATCTGCTACAACTTCGTTTCTCCGCAGCCTCCCTTCCCGACGTGGATCACCCCCGAGCAGTTGCAGTTTCTGGAGGTCTTTGACACGCCAGCTCCGGCTCCCTCCTCCGAGGATTGTGAGTGCTGCATGGTCGTCACGTCCTCGATATGTTACGACTCTGCTTCCAGGTTTAAACATCAATGTGATTACGCCTACGTCGGCCAAACCCGGGTCCAGACTCCCTGTCGTCGCTGTGAGTAGTGCCCTTTATTGCGGTGCGAACAGAGTAGTGATGCGTTGTCGCCAGTACATCTTCTTTGGTGCATTTGAGTTCGGTGGAGCTTTCGAGTGAGTAAATGTCGCTATGCATTTGCAGGACGTTCCTCTCTAACAATGTGCCGCAGCGTGGATGGACGGAACATGGTCAAACGATCTGTGGAGCTGGGCGAGCCCGTCATCTTTGTATCGATGAACCATCGGTCAGTCTTTTCGCTTCATAGAAGCGTTTTTGACGCTAACGATGATATACAGGCTTGGACGTGGGTCACCTTACGGAAGTACGACAGGACCCCGAGGCTCATATTTTGCTTACAGCTCTCGGCTGGCTTGGAGGAAAGGAGATCAAGGACGTGAAGCAGGAAACCTCGGTCTCCAGGATCGTAAGTCGACATATCAGTTGACCCCGCTTCACGAGATTGCTGACTCAGTGCTTATCACGAACAGAGCGCGAGGCCCTTCGCTGGATCCAGCGCTACATCATTCAGTTTGGCGGCGATCCCACGAAGGTTACCCTGTGTGTACTATGAACTGGAATGGAAGTCGTGCACTGATTGCCGGGTGAACCGTTCCATGCAGGCTGGGCCTCAGTTCCGGTGGCGTTTCGGCCGCCTTGCAGACCGTGTACAACAACGGGAACACCGAAGGACTCTTCCATGCTCTGTGGGCCGAATCGGGTGCGATTCAACCCGTTGGTTGGATCGATGCCCCACAACCGCAAGCGGCATACAACACCTATGTGGCGTCTGTGGGGTGTTCGGATGCCAAAGATACCCTATTGTGTCTCAGGCAGGCACCCGTGGACGCGGTAACCAACGTCAATGCTCTCACCTCGGTGTGGACCCCGCACGCGGACGGGAGCGTCATCTCGGACCTTCCGCAGACGCTACTCACGGAAGGGCACGTTGCGAAGATTCCCGTAGTCGCCGGTACGCTTCTAGCGCGCCCTCCTCATTTACCAGTTACCAATGATCTCCCCGTTTCACAGGAAACGCCGAGGATGAAGGGACACTCTTCGCTCTCAATATACCCGACATCACGTATGTGCATATGTTCTAGCTGCATGCTGTTCGCGTGACTGACTTCCTCTGGCAGCAATGATATGGAATTCATCGAACTCGTCATGGAAGCGTACTTTCGAAACATCAGCTCCGCAGACGCTGAGACACTGCTGCAAATGTACCCGAACGACCCGGCGCAGGGTGCGCCGTACGGCACCGGGGACGACTTCCAGTACACGCTGATGCACAAGCGCTTCGCGTCGTTCGCGGGGGACACGGGCGTCGACGCCGTGCGCCGCTTCTTCACGCAGCAGATGAGCGCACACAGCAACGTCTGGGCGTACTGTGCGTCTTCCGATCGCCCTTCTCTCCGTCTGGAAAGAACCTGATTTTTCTTTCCAGATTACAAGCGGTTCTACGTTCCCGGCTTCGGATCGGTACGTCTCCGCCGTACCCTGGACCTTCCTCCTCGTCGCTCATCTTCCCTGTACAGACGCACGCGTCGGAGCTCCCCGACATGTACCAGAGCGGGAACCTGCAGGACATCTTCATCCACTTTGCGAACACGCTCGACCCGAACGGCGCCACGAACGTCACGCAGAACTGGCCGAAGTACGACACGAGCAACCCGGTGCTCTTGGAGTTCACCAGAAACACGACACCCTCGCTGACGAACGATACATACCGCGAGGCGGCGATAGAGTTCCTCATTGAGATGGGGCAGAAGATGCCGTGGCCCATCTAGTTGCTTGGAGTGTTGTGCTGTGGAAGAATGCTGTGAACGGCGGGCTGATATCTGGCTCTGTCTGTTTTTCGGTAGTTGGCGAAATGATCACACATGCGTATGTTGTCCTTGGGCTATAGGAAAGAGACGGCAAGAGTCTTGTAACGATGGCATGGCGTTACGGAGTTGATGTTAAGCAACAGAATGGCTGAAGTCTGGAAAATACGGTTGTAGATGAGGGCACTTTGGCGCTACAGCGAGCAGTGACCATCCTTTCCCAGCCACCTCCACGATTCCCCCCTCTCTGCTGCCTCTCTTCCTTCCCCGTTTCCCTCCTGCTGTTTGATCGCCGGAGTTAAGAAGCAAGCTCGAGGCCATCGGAGGTGCGTTTCTTTACGCTCGTCTCATCATGCTGGTCACCAACCCCTTGTTAGATGGTGCTCGTTATGGACGCGCTGCGCCTTTTCCCCGTTCTCTACTTGCCCGTTATCTGAAGTAGGAACGCGGAAGACATTTGATCACATGGGATCTGCGTGAGTATTATTTCCCCCGATTAACTGATCGTGGGCGCGTTGTTCATGCGCAGCCAATCTGTCATCGTAGCACGGCCTTTGGCTGCACGTCTTGGCGAAGCTGTTGACGGCGGCATCAACTTCCCCGCTCCTCCCGCAACCACCGTTACCCCTCAACATTTCCAGGAGTTTCATAAGATTACCGACTTGTCGTACCCCAACGTGAGTAGGAGCAGCCCCCGGTTATGTCATCGTCTCTCACATCTGGCTGGCGACAGCGACCCGAGCAATGTGGATGCTGAGCACTGCTCGCGCGGAGCTGCACTTCTTCTCCGACCCGTCAGCCGTACCCGGTGGCTACTGCATTCTCTCTCACACCTGGTTCGGCCAAGAGCAGTCATTCCAAGAGATTCAAGATATCAGCAGGGCATGTGCCCCGGACAACACCAACCCACGCGACTCGGTGTCGGAGAAGATCCGAAAGTGCTGTCTCAAGGCGGAGGAGTACGACCTCGACTGGATCTGGATCGATTCCTGCTGCATCGACAAGACGAGCAGCACGGAGCTTTCGGAGGCCATCAATTCCATGTTCAGCTGGTACGTCCTCGCCGAAGTCTGCTTCGTCTTCCTCGAGGATGTTCCGGTGGACGACGACTTCTACGCCGAAGATTCTGCATTCCGGAGGGCGAGGTGGCATAGACGGGGATGGACGTTGCAAGAGCTGCTCGCGCCAGCCTTCATGATCTTCTTCTCGAAGGAGTGGGAGCGGATTGGGACAAAGCAAGACCTCGCACGCCTTCTGGACGAAGTCACCGGGGTCGCGCTCCCTTTCCTCGTCCGGGACCTGTCCTTCTTGGACGACGCGTCGGTCTCGGAGCGTATGCACTGGGCCTCGCGTCGGAACACCACTCGGGTCGAAGACGAAGCGTACTGCCTACTTGGTATCTTCGACATCAAGATGACAACTCTGTATGGGGAAGGCCAGCAAGCTTTCAGGCGTCTGCAGCAGGAAATTGTCAAGAGATCGCCCTCTGAGACCTCGATCTTATCATGGGGTTCGATCTACTTGTCGAAGAAGTTCGACCACTTGGCGGCAATCCCCCTACAAAACATACACAGGTCCTTTCACGAGCTTGCGCATCAAGACCGTTTTCTTTTCGCGTCTTCTGTCCGAGAATACCAAGACCGGAGGCTTGTTTGCGGACCAATATCGTTTGAAGATCTGGGGCGTGGTCTAGTGCGTAAGCCTCCGCCCGTTGAAGGTCGGGACGTCAGTCAGGTAAGCTCCAGTCTCTCGCGCCTATGTCTGCATTGTGATTGAGCTTTACGCAGATGCAGGTGTTGTCAAATACTGGCCCTTTCGGTGTAGCCGAAATCCCGTGGATTGAGGAGACCGCTCAAGGAACAAAATGTCGTTTCCCGGTTGCTCAAGTCGAGGGGATCACCATCGCAGTGATTGCTCGCACCATAGAGCGTCAGGGACGATGCCTAGGGCTTCTCTTACACCCCCATGCTGGGGTTTTTCTTCAGCACCCAGACATGGAACAGCACTTCGTGACCTGGGCCTTCGCTATCGACAGCAGCGTGTCTTCAAGGTCTAGCGGCGGAAAACTTGTTCGTGGTGGACTCGGGGCATCCAGTCAAATTACGCAGGCCCTGCGTATGGCAAGCCTTCCTCTCTCTCCTTCAAAGGCCTTCCTTCGAAGAGATTGGGATACTCTTTGGTCTGTGCGCGCAGATCCACGACGACGAAGGCGCCTCGGACACCCAGCCGCACCCTTACGCACGTCACTGGGCGTGGGCGACGCCCTTCGGCACGCAGGCTGGCATGGACTTCGCCGACTACGAGCACGACTGCGCGACGGACCACATCGTCGCCTGGCCCGACGGCGCGCGCGAGTTCGGAGACGCGGAGCGTATGGTCCGGCTCTCGTTCAGCCCGTGCAAGTACGACCCGACGTTCACGCTCGTGCCGCACATCGCGCTCTCGGGCACGGTGTACGCGCAACGCATGGAGGAGCGCGCTGCGAGGCTCCCGCCGCCCCCACGGGCGGCGCTCCCGCTCGTCCCCGCCCCGGCGCCGTATCCCCGCCCTGCGAAGCTGCCGGACGTGCCTCCCCCGCGACTGAAGCGCAAGCCGATGCAGGACTCGTCGAACGTCCCGGACGGTCCCTCCACGATACACCAGGACGACCCCAAGGGAGTGGACGCTGGTGGAGATGAGGCTCCACGCGAGGTACCTTCAGACTCTCCCGATGGTTCTGTCGACACTGCTGTCCAGCGCGCGCACGCGGTACCCGGTGAAGATGCGCCGTCTGTCGCGGCGTCCACCGGACACGGGATGGAGCAGAGGAGGCGAATTGACACCGGTGGGGTTCAGGGAGATGCGCCTAGGTCATATCCTGATGACTTTTATGGATGTATGGCCCTTGCAGAGTTAGCGGCTTCATGAGATTGGTGACGCTGCGTGCGCATGAGTTTGGAAAGTGACGTTGGCTGTATGTAGTAGCGCCTCAATTGCATTGACCACATCGTGTTCACCTTGGTGCAGGAAAAAGAATGCTGCAACCTGCGCTCGAGAACAATGTCCGGCGTAGTCCATATGCATGTTTTGTTCACATTGGAGCCCATGTCGCGGCAGAGGCGCTGCGAGCGCATACAGCCGCCCTCACACACTGACCTCCACCATCCCGCTTCCTCGTCATCCTATAGCGTCACGGTTCGCCTTATTCTCCCATCCTGTATGGCATATCCCCTCCCCGACCCGTCAACATTGCCAGCCATACGAACCGGAGACAGATCGCAAGGATGGAAGGATATTTCGTGCGCAGAGGTTGCCGGAGGCATTTGGTCAGGGGATACCACCATGGGTATGTTGCCCCCATGCGTTTCTTTCTGCGTATCCTCCTGCATGCCTTTCGCGTTTCCCTTCCCCTTCTGCAAGCCGCCATGGGCTTCCGATCGCCCCTCTCATTCGCAATTCCGCCTGCTTCTGTGTCCACAGCCCCTTCCCAATCCTGATCTCTTTTGTAAATAGTCTTCGGCAAAATCTTTCTGCGATGCGAATATCATCCAGCTCACCACATGTGCCGCTGGACGTGGTGCAAGGAGATCGGAAAACATTTCAAACTCTGGACCACATCCGACGGGCGTGAGTGTCGAGCATGTGCCATGGGGCACCGCCGTTTGCAATTGCAAGCATGCCCAGGGCGCTCGACCTTCGTCTAAATACAAGGGGCTTCGAAGCCGACTCGTCCACACCGAGCTACATCGTTCACAGGCGTTTCGTGAGGTATGCCATACCCCGCTGTGTCTGAGAAGTCCACTTACAAAGGTTGCAGACAGTGGGCCACGACATCGCGATTTCCGCTCCACAACCTGTGCAGCTCTCGGCGCGATCAAGCCTCTTCGGAAACCTCATCGACTCTTCGACATCATGTGGATGTTGAGCTCTGCACGCGCGGAGCTGCATCTCTTCCAAGGGGGACCGTCATCCGTTCCTGGTGGCTACTGCATCCTCTCTCACACCTGGGGCGACCACGAGCAAACTTTGCAAGACATCCAGGCCAACGCCGTCGCCTGTAAGGCAAACAAAACCAATCCACGCGACTCCGTGTCGGCGAAGATCCGCGAGTGCTGCATCAAAGCGGAGGAGTATGGCCACGAATGGGTCTGGATCGACACCTGCTGCATCGACAAGACGAGCAGCACGGAGCTCTCCGAAGCGATCAACTCCATGTTCAGCTGGTACGTCCTCGCCGAAGTCTGCTTCGTCTTATTCGAGGATGTTCCGGTGGACGACGACTTCTACGCCGAAGATTCCGCGTTCCGGAGGGCGAGGTGGCATACCCGGGGATGGACGCTGCAAGAGCTGCTCGCCCCGGCCTTCATGATCTTCTTCGCGGACAACTGGGAGGAGATCGGGACGAAGCAAGAGCTGGCACCCCTCTTGGAACAAGTCTCCCACATCCCGATGCGCTTCCTCACCCATGAGGATTCGTTCCTCGACAACGCATCGGTTTCCGAGCGCATCTACTGGGCCTCCAATCGTAACACCACCAGGGTTGAAGATGAGGCTTACAGCCTCCTCGGTATCTTCGACATCAAGATGACCACGCTGTACGGGGAGGGTCGGCAAGCATTCAGACGGCTGCAGCACGAGATCGTCAAGCGATCACCATCCGAAACTTCTGTACTCTCGTGGGGGCCTCTGTACGATGCCGAAGGGTTCGACGCCTACCAACCCGTCCTCCCAACGACTATGGTCTCGATGTATCACGGTCTTGTCCATCAGGATCGGTTCTTGTTTGCATCCTCCCCCCAGGAGTTCTCTAACAGGGACCTTGTTTGCGGGCACATCTCGTACGAGGATCTGGGACGACCTTCCCAAGACCACGGAGTAAGCATCGAACTCCCCCTTTCGACCCTTGATTTTGTCTAACCACTGCGCAGAACTTCCCTCCTTCGCTCAATGGGCCCTTTGGCGAAGCCGAGATTCCTTGGATCGAATCAACGGCCCAAGGAATCAAGTGTCGCTTCCCAGTCGCCGAAGTCGAGGACATCATCGTAGCCGTGATCGCCCGCACCCTGGACAATGGCAACTATCTAGGCCTCCTGCTACACCCCCATTCCGACGTTCCCCTCCAGCGCCCCGATACGCAGCAGCTCTTCGCCACCTGGGCCTTCTCCGCCGATGGAGAGGGGGTCGGAAGTCGCGCTGCACGCTTGGCGTACTTGGGCTGCGACATCTTCAACCTCACCTTCCGCGACGTGAATCTCACGCCCCGCGTCCAGTGGCGGGACGTCTTCATCTTCCCCGAACCCCGTTTCCGGCAAAGCACGATGTCCGACCACACCACTCTCCGCCTCGCCAAAGCCTTCGTACCCTTCAAGTTCTCAAACGAAGCCGACGCCTTCGTCCCCTTCCGCTTTCCCAGGACTCTGCTTCAGAGCCTGGCAACGGACAAGCTGTTCGTGGTCGACGCAGGGCGGTTATCGCACATGCCTGAGTCCTGTTCGTGGCACGCCTACATTACCCTCTCCACCAAATCCGGTTCGGAGGAAATCGGGATCCTCCTCGGGCTGTGCGCAATGATTCAAAGCGACGACGACGACGGCACGGAACCCCCTCGCGCAACGCACTGGGCCTGGGCGGGGCCGTCCCTCCAGCTCGCGGACGGCAGCGACTTCGTCGACTACGTGCACGACTGCGCCACCGACCACGTCCGCGCCGGCGACGAGCCCCGCGAGTTCGGCGACGAGGCGCGCGCGATCCGGCTCTCTTTCCGCCAGAGCAGGTACGACGCGGAGGGCACGCTCGCGATGTACGTCGACCTCGCCGGCGCGGTGTACGAGGCGCGCTTGAACGCCGCCAGGGTCAAGCTCCCGCAAGTCCCGGCCAACGTCGTCCCGCTCTCGCGCCCCAGGGCCGCTATCCGCGCCGCCCCCACACCGGAGGACGAAGAAGGCCTGGACGACTCGGGGTCCGCCTGAGTGTCCGTCGCCTCCACGTCTCCCATCGTGTCCTTTGTGTCGACACACTGCGAAGACGACGTCCGCCCTGCCGTGTCCCCTCGCGGGAACGAATCCCCTAGCGCTTCCTCTTCGCCACCGCGAGCCCGTGTCGATCCGTCTTTGGTCGGTCGGTCCCAGGCCCTCTTTGGAACACGCATGGCGCCCACCCGTCCGCGAACGAGGACGATGCAAACCGGAGGACGTGTAGTTAGAGTCTGGGATCGCTTGTATCGCGTTGGGCACTGTACTGCTTATGTATCATGCTATCTGCTTCTCCGAAGTCGCTTTGGTCGAACGTTGACTGCAGGAGGATAAGTCAAGTCGATCAAGTGCGTGTCCTCTACGAGACCAGATACAGCCAAATCAGGGCACAAGTACCGCGCATTATTCTACGACTAGCGCATGCTCGAAACCCAAGAGCACCTTTAACTTCGCCGACCAGTGGTCTGAAGCTAACGATGGACTTAGATCTCCTATCGGTAAGGCGCGTTCAAGACCAGAGAACACGGACGACAAGCGAAACGCAGAAAGAGGATATGGATGACAACCAACGTAGTCTAGATGTCTTGGCAGTCAGTATTGCGTATGTCGTGGGCGGGCGGTCGTCATTCGTATTCATGAGGGGAGTAGCAGTGTCATCGAACGGAAGGCACGGTCGTGGGTGTAGAGAGAGAAGATAGGAGGGAAGAGCGGAAGGCTACACGAGGGATGGATGATAGGACGGGACGGGGGATACAACAGCTGGGGGAGAGACACAGTGGTAGTAGTACTAGGCAGGAAAATACAACTCGTCGACGGGGGACTCATTCTTCTGACTCTCTCAAACGCGCGCGCATACGCATCCACCATCTTTCTCCCGTACCACTTCACCCACACAGCGAAAAGGGACCCAAAAAGGATAAGGACGGTGGACGTCTAGATGAACGCGGCGAGGCCCGCCGCCTGCACCTTCGCGGGCTCCTCGCGGTTGAGGAGCGCGATGAGGCTGATGAGCTCCGCGCGGATCTCGTCCCCAACCATGTCCTGCGCCGTGGCCGGGTCGAGCACGAACGCGAACACGTGCAGGAGCTTGTCGAGGTGCGGGTGGAGCACCGCCGGCTGGGTCTTGAAGAGGTGGAAGATCGCGCGGAAGACGGGCCGGTTCTCGAGGAAGTCGTTCTGGAGAGGGAGCGCGTTGAGGAAGACGGGGAGCACCTGGTCTAGCGGAAGCGCGGCCGTGTTCTTGACGATCATGCGCGCGACGGCGCCGACCGCGTTGTCGCGCGCGTTGAGTACCGACGACGGCGCGTCCGCCGGCACGATGAACATCGGCCGGAGCGCGGCGAGGATCGTGATGTATTGCGGCGAGAGGTCGTTCTCCGAGTGCTCGATGAGCAGCCCAGACGCGAACGCGGCGTTGCAATGCACCTCGGGCTCCTCGTCGCCCAGCGCGCGGTAGAAGAGATCCATGAGCGGCTGCGTCCACGGCGTGATCGCGTTCTTCATCCCGCCGATAATCTCCGACAAGCAGCCAATCGCCGAGGAGCGGTCGCTGAGAGATCGGTTCTTTTTCTTTATCATCGCGGGCAGGTCAGCCGGGCGTGTGATCGAGAACGGGGTGCACCACTCACGTAGTACTTCATGATCAGCGGTGCAAACTTTTCGTAGCCGCTCGCGAACTCCGCCCCGAGCGCGGTCGCAAGCGCCGCGACGAGGTCACCCGCGGACGAGATCAGGATCGAGTCGTACTCCGCGGAGTCCTCGGGTGCTTCGTCGCCCTCATCCTGATCAGGATCTTGTTGGCAGATGGCCTTCTGCTCGAGCACCTGGAGGGCAATGTTCGCGAAGCTCTCCACGCGGGTGTCCAAGAAGCCGGGGCCGAGCTTGTTCGCGGTCTCGGCAAGACCGACACACAGGCTAGATACGACCTTCCTGTGAAACGGAAATTCGTCAGTACGAACAGTCCACGATGCAACGGTCGAGAAAGAAGTCAGAGCACAAAGTGCCATATGAGAGTCTCACGCGCCCGAGTAGGGCATCGAAGTGAGCTGAGTTAAATCTTTCTTCACACCAAACGCGTCCAGAGATCTGGAGCGCACATCAGGAAATAAAAGCACGCACTTGTTGTCTTCGGACTCGTACATCTCCAGGAGCGAGGGTAGGATGTGGTTGATCAGGCTCGTGAGTTGGCTGTCGAGGGGTTCGAAGCCCTGCAGGTGCATGAGCATTCACCCAGCAACGTACAGTAGGTCATACTGTACTCACAGTGAGACCCGGCTGCCACTCATGGGGGTTCGTGAGGTCGTAGTACGTGCGGATGATCTGGAGGAGCGAGTCCGTCGCGCTCTTGCGGATGCCGTCGTAGTAGTGCGCGAGCTGCGTGACGAGCTCGATTGTGCACGGCTCGACGTATTCGCGGAAGTGGGGACCGGTCGCCGCGAAGATCGTGCCGATGGTGTCCGCCGCGATCTCCTTCTCGATGCAGATCGAGCTGTTCACGTCGAGCAGCTTGTCGAGGTCGGTCTCGTCGTCCTCGATGTTGATCTCGTCCGACACGGTGATCGCGCTCGAGGGGGTGAGGCCGGACGCGAAGCTCTGGGCGTTGTCGGGGTTCGACACTTTAAGTTGAATTGTCAGAATGTGTTTTGTGAAACGTTCAACAACCAGACGTACCACTCAGACGCTCCTCCTCGCCGTGCTCAGGCTGCTGGAGGCTCTGGAGGAGGGAGGGGACAACTTGGGGGAGGTACTCCGCGAACTCATCGCCAAACACACGCGCCATGACGCCGAAGAAGAGGAAACTACACTCCTTGAGGCGCGCGCTGTTAAGCTGGATGCCGTTGAATGCCTGGCCCATCATGTCCCGGAAGTACGGACGGAAGACGTCCTTGCCGACTGCCTCCGCGAATGTGCCGACGGCGTCCATGGTGATCCCGCGGAGCTCCTGCTCTTCGCCCTCGTTGACGAGCACGAGGAAGTGCTTGAAGCGTTCCATCGTGGGCTGGAAGTAGAGGAGGAACTTTGACTTGGACGCGTGCGCCGCGCTGCCAATGGCGCCGATGACGACGCACTTGACTCCAATTGGCGCGGAGTCCAGGAGGCCAATGAGACGCTCCATGATAATCGGGAGGTACTGGTCGATTACGTCGTGCATGATCTCGAGGAGGGCGTCGAGCGCGGTGCATGCGGTGCGCTGGGTGACGGGGTCGTTGACGAGCTGCATCATCATCGGGACGAGAACGGCATGCTTGGCGGCGCACTCCTCCTCGAGCCATTCGCAAAGGCAGCTGACCGCGACGCAGCTCGCCTTGCGGACCGTCGCGTCGTGGTCCTGGAGACCAGCCTCGATGATAGGCCAGACTTCGCCCATGAGCGGCGTCATAAACTCGCTGCAGCCCTCCACAGAAACACCAAGCGCGAGCATGGCACCACGGCGCTGACCGGCATCGGCAGAGGAGAAGTACTGCTGGATGAGCTGGCGGAGAGCGGGGAAGACCTGGGTGGGAGGCAGGCTCGTGGCGAGGCAGTCGATGATGCGGAGGGAAGAGCGCGAAGGAGCATCGTCGTCAGCGTCCTCGGGCTCGTCCTCGGTGGTGATAGGCATGAGGCCCTCGAGAATGGCGGGTGCGAGGCCATGTGACTGGACCTTGGACTTTTTACTGCACACAAACAGGACCTGTAAGTCATCGCCACCTTGCATGAGCAACAAGCCGACTTACTACTGAACAGTCCAGTTGAGAGCATTGAGAGCCAAAACGCGGAGCTCAGAGTCGTAATTGCGGTTAGCGCCGCAGGTGAGGAGGAATTGGGCGAGCTGAGGGATGTGCTGGCCCAGAAGTGGGATTTCCTGTGCAAATATGATATCAGAACTTGATCGTGACCGCATTCATGCATTACACCCACAAGAATGAGAAGAGTCTCAAAGACGTCGAATAGCTGACGGGCGCCAGCCTCGTTGCCGGCCTCTACGCACTGACCGATGACGTTGATCATCGAGGGCAGAAGATTTTGGAAGTTTCTCTGTTCATCCGAAATGAGTCGCGTTTGTCAGGAAGTGAGAATTGTGACCCACAATCTCAGCCTTGTCATCGGCATCAATGTACTGCGCGACAACGCCTAGCGCACGGACGGTTGTTATCCGGACCTCGGCGCTCTCGGGGTCGTTCAGAAGGCTCTCGAAAAGCTTGAAGAAACTTGAGATGTGGTTGTCGAAGCCTTCAACGATGTTCTCGAGGACGGTATAGAGAATGTAGATACCGACTTCACGGTGCGCGGCCTGTTGTGACATACAGGTCTGCTCGAGGAAGGTGAGAAGGTTCTGCCAGTGACCGAGGGGCATCTCGATCGCCGCGACCGCGGCGACGACACGGGCAGTGGAATGGCGAACGAGGTTGCTGAGCGCGCGAGGAATCGGTTGAGTTCGTACTCTTGGGGAGGACACACGGAGACTAGGATAGCGACGAGACGTACCTCGACTCGGAGAGCACAATCTCCGGGAGCTTTCCCTTGATCTCCTCCCTCTGATCCTGGGATACCTGCAACCAAAGCTCGCCACTGGCCTGCGAGATCCGTTTCCGGAGCTCCACCGCAGCCAGTTGCCTAACCTGAAAGTAAAAGTGAGCATCACGTGCATATTTGTGCAGACCGCGTGAAGGGAAGAGAACTCAGGATGAGGACAGTGAGATATTTTTGAGCGCACGACACTGGCATAGCACCTGGACTGTCTCCTACATGAGATCGCAGTAGGGCAGGGTAAAGAAGACCACAGTCGCGTAGCGTCCATAAAAGCCGCCAGATATCCGTCCCGTATCTCCGCTGTGCGCATACACGGATCGAAAAAGAGGAAGCAGCCACGGAACTGAACCGCGGAGTGGCCCAAGTGAGGAGCGCAGGACAATAGGGAGAAATAGACGCCGGAATGGGTTCATAAACCCTCGGAACAGCCATAACGTTTGCGGAGGGCATGAATCGGGCCTCGGACAAAACGGGATGTGGAGAAAGAGGTACACAGCAAGGTATGTGGTATACTCCGAGGGTGCGGGGATGCTGGAGGCGCGATGATCTCAATGATGGAGCGGGAGCGGTGAATGCTGCGAGCTACGGCCAGAGGAAACTGGAGGCGATGCCCTCCTGACTACCCGGACGGCACATGTCGTGCAGAATAGTGAAGGGCGTAGAGAAATATCATGAATGTGCGCTTTGGTGCCGATTGCGCGCAAGAAGGAGATGGGGACGCAGGATCTGAGCAGAGTAGACTCACCGGCACCTCTGGCGAGTTCGCCATGATGCTCGCGAGCGCGGGAATGCATAGTGGGTTCTTGTAGTACTCGCGGTTAAGCTGCGCGGTCGCCTAGTGTGCGGAAATTGTGAGCGAAAGGCGTCGAGAGGCGATATGGGAAGACGATTGCTTACCGCCTTCAGCTGCACGGTATCATTGGAGGTGAATTGGACGAGGAGGGTGTGCAAATTCTGCACAAATGTGGGCTGGAATCACAGAGTGAGCGATTTGTGCATGCCAAAATGTCCATGGATGCAGCTCACGTCCATGTCTGGGAAAAGGAGGGGGATGGAGGGAGGAAGGGAGGAGAGGGAGGGGAGCAGAGATGGATTTTGAGGCAGGCGCTCGAGGACTTGCACAAAAATTTGGTTTGATCTGCTTGAATCTCTCGTCCACGTGCTTATCATTATCCTGCCGCATCTGGCCATCCATCGCCTCGTCACACGGCGTCCTCCCAGCTCGTTCTCGCCCTTTGCTTCTCTCTCTTCCGTCCCCCTACTTGGATTCTCGGCCGGCGAGCAAGCCATCATCCGTGCTCTGGCGACGAGCCTCTGTCCATCATTCATCGGCTCTCCGTGGATCGACAGATATAGACATCTTGTTCTGGAGTCAGTATAACGCACAGTTCCTCTTCTTTGGAACTCTAATACAGCAGTGGGCCACATCATCAAAACACGCAGCCTGTGCTTTCTCCCCCTGCGCCCCCTCTCCCACCAGCCTGCACCGTTCGCTTGGCGAAGGACAAAGCATCACATCCCCCACGGCGCAGCGCCAGACGATCACGGCGCTTCCTCCATCTTGCATTCTCTCTTACCTCTCTAGAATCAGCTCTGTACGCACGCGGCACCACCATATAGTCATCTTATCTTCGTGCCTTGCCTCGACCGTGCAGAGCCCCAAGTGAGCGCAGATGTCTTGCCCAATGTCCTGCCTCGAGGCTTTGTGCCACCAAGTTCTCCGTCGATGGGCCACACTCTCCGGCCCGGCATGGATGGCACTAACTTGAGCCACCTACTCCCTTGCTTTGTCTTTCTGGTATGCCTTTACGGCTTAAGAGCACTCGCAGAAGGCTTCCCTGTCGAGGACGCTTCCCACCTCGGTCGTCTCCCACCCCCACTGCGCGAAGTAATCCCCTCACCGCCTAGACGACTACCCAGCGGACCCCATCATGCCATTGCCAACGATACCGAGGTTTCCCGCAGCAATGGACCTCCGCGGTCATATGAACGACACTTGGCCCCAGACCTTCCCTTCTTACACCCCTTACTATCCATACATGTCCACCAACACGCCCGCGGCAACGTACAGGGCAGATCGCCCGAGAAAATCATCGCATCACAGCGAATTTCGACCGAGCACCCGCGCCAGCTCCCGCTACCCCGCCTCCTCGCGCGGGGCCTCGTACACCAGCCAGAGCGTCTCCCACGACGACCCCAGCACGCACTCCCGGCGACGCACTGCATCCACCGCCCCCTCAGGCCGCGGCGGACCCAGCTACGCCTTCGGCCCCGCGCCCGTATACCGCGCCCGCGCCGCGCCGCCTTCCCCATCCACATCGTAAGTGCACAGTCCTGCGCATGATGGCCCCGCGCTGCGCTGACCGGCGGCCGTCATTTGCATCATTCCCCCGCGCACACCGCCCTGCCGCCCCCTCGCCCATTTCCTCGTCTCGACCCCCGCCACGGACGCGCTCGGCCCTCGGATCACCCCTCGCGCCTGCGCCCATTGCTCCCTCCCCACATCGCGCCCCCGCGTTTGATTGCGCGCCGATGACTGTTTATTCGCGGGCCTTGGCATATCGTGCCGCAGACGATGGACGACGTACGGGTCGAGTTGCGTCTCTGAGCGGAGCGCGCGGCGCCCCAGGCACCGATTCCGCAGGGCGTTTGTCGGGCTGTGGAAGAGGATGACGGGGGCGTTGCGGAGGGAGGGGCCGGACTTCGACCCGCGGCTTGTAGGGCCGGGCTTCGTTATGGTGCGGTGAAGGGGTCAGAGTGGCGTGTTGTAAATAATGGCGGGCGTGGCTTCGATCTTCAGTACTTAGTACAGTAACGCTGCGAGTTTCGGTTTTTGATGTCATGTACATGACGTTATTGAACAGAATGCTGTAAAAACATGGCAACTTCACGGCGCTATAGTGTAGTGGTTATCACTTGGGATTCTGAGGATGTTCCCAAAACCCAGGTTCGAGCCCTGGTAGCGCCTTGTGGAATATTTGGAGTGATCTTTTTTACTGGATATTAGAAGAATTACGATTTGCTTGGATACTGGCACGCGCACGTTGTGTGTAGATCATGCGAAGATCAAGTTGATATTCTATCATCCGTACTTTTCCGAGACATGTTTCTTATCGAGTAGAGAACAGGAAGCACGCGTTCGACGGTTGACACCAGACAACGCGCTCGTGAGTCGTCTGCCGGCGAGCTCAGCAGAACGTCGAACGTTCGCACTCCGTCCATCGCACTCCGTCGCATCATCCGGCTCGCACTGGCACGTCATCTGTTCTTGGTCTCGTCCAGGAAAAATTTCTCCAACCAGTCAGGGTCGTCCTACGGGCCTCCGCGGTGAGGTGGACGACTGGTGACCACGGTGAAGAGCGCATGAGACCGCATTGGCTGCGGGCTCGGGGCAGACAACGGCCTTGGCGCGATGGATTCACCAGCAACGTCGCGATCCGCAGACATAGCACATCGAGAAGCAGTCTCACCTCGGGCCGGGTCGAGCTTGAGCCTCTCGCACGATGGTTCGAACGTCGAAGACTCGGAGACATTGTCCGCGCCCACGTCCCCGTCCCCGGTACGCAGTCCTCGGGGACCTGAGTGCGCAGGGGTTACCATGGCTCCGGGTCTGAGCTCGAGGAGGCATGAGGCTCGCGAAGCCGATGCAACACAAAAATTAGCACCGCCGCGAGGACAGGGTTCCAGAACGTGGAACACGGAAGCAGCGTCCACTGGACTCCAGACGTGGCCAGGAGGCGCGGGTCGTCGACGTCGAACGGAACTTCTCGTGTGCGCGCGGGCCGATGGGGGCTGCCGCCTGCGGGGGCGCAAAACAGGCACGGGCGCGGCGCACCGCGCGACGACAGGGTCTGGGCAGGCAGCGCGCCGCGCGCGGACGCATCACGCATGCCGCACGCTGCATGGAGCTGGCGCGGACGCCTGATCGATGCGCGGGGAGGTGCGCGAGGCAGGCTGCCGGGGCGCGGTGGAACGCGGGCGAGGGGTTCGCGCGCGTAACGAGGGCAGCCGCCGGCGCCCGCTTGCCGTCCGCTGCCGGGCCGGCAGGAGTGTGGCCGCACGGGTCGGAGGCTCTGCCAACTGCCCTCCTGCTCCCCCTCCTGCTCAGTCGCTGTTGCGTCCTCGGCCGCCCCCCACACAGCCTGGAGTCTCACCCGGCGGTGTGCTGTGCTGGCGCGACGCCTCCTAGGTCTCCACGAGCAGGAGGCAGGGTCCGGGAAGAGGCGGGGCGGCCTGCCGTGCTGTTGCGATCTCGTCGAGATCGCAACAGGGCGTTTTGGCCGACTTAGTCATAGCGAAATGCAGCATCGGTTTATCCAAGATGCAGCTAAGCTACAACCACCCGGCTTCGAGAACATCAATCCGGCCCCCTGGGTCAGGTCTGCCCACGAGCCGATAGCCGGTGCACTTGGCTCGAGACCGGGCCCGAGAGATAAAAGGCCTCTCGCCCCCAGTCCGATTCCCCCAAGTTCCTACCACAGGTTCTGGTAGCTGGCCTTTCCTCCCACTCGTCCTCTTTCCGTATATTCTTCTTCCTCCCCCGGCAGGGCCGCGTCTCAGCACAGATCTTTCGACTTCCCCTCACTGCTGTCAGCTACACCTTCATTTCCATCTTCGTCAGCCCTTCGTCATGTTCAAGCAAATCGCGCTCCTTTCCCTCGCGGTCTCATCCGCTTACGCCCACGGCTTCGTTCAGGATGTCGCTGGTGCCAACGGCATCTCCGGCGTCTCCCTCGGTGTCACCTTCAATGGTGAGGTCCCCCGTGATGGTACCACCGAGCAGCCCTTCCAGATCGACACGCCCGTCATGAAGGACCTCGTCGGCAGTGCGTGTCTTTTTCTCTCTGTTTCGTGTATCATTGGTTGACGATGTTCTGCAGACCCCTGCGGTACGACGCTTCTCAGCGGCTCCCTCGACATCAACGCAGAGATGGCCAAGATCTCCGCTGCCTTCGGCGGTCTTCCCTCGATCCCCTCCAACGGCTCCCTCAGCTTCACCGTTCACCAGGTCAACGCCGATGGTGGAGGACCTTTTACCGCGGAACTCAACACCGACGCGACCGCCAAGACGTTCACCGCGCTCACCGTCTCGCTCCAGCCCCCTGGTGTGAACGGTGTGCTTCACAACGGCCCCGCCAACTCGACGATGGTCGTCGAGATCCCTGCGGGCACCAAGTGCACGGGTGGCACTGACGGTGCGACCTGTCTCATCCGTCTCAACAACGGTGGTACGACTGCCTCGGTCGCCAACGGTGCCGGTCCCTTCGGTGGCTGCCTCGCTGTTACTCGTGCGTTCATCCTTTGACCGCGTACGTATTCAACGAATCTAACGCTTTGCTCTGCAGAGTCCACTGCCGCCGCCAACTCTACCGCCTCTGGGAAGACTGCCAACGGCAAGGCTGGCAACAGCAAGGCTGTCAAGGGTGCCTCCCGCAAGGGCGGTCGTCAGCTCCTCGGTCGTCACTTCTACCCCTCCACCCATGCCCGCCGCGAGGCCATCGTCGAGATGGTGGAGAGGCGCATGATGGACGTCATCGAGCGCGAGATCACCCCCATGGTCGAGAAGCGCGACAGCCTCTCCCGCGAGATCATCGCCAAGCGTGACTTCCTCTCCGCCCAGCTCCTCGACGAGATCTCCACCGTCGCCGGTACCGCCATCGACATCCCCGTTGACCGCCTCGCGGGCCACGACGACGCCTCCGCGACCGGTGGCAACTCGACCGCCGCTGCCGCCGGTGCCCTCCTCACTGAGCAGCAAGCCACCGACCTCAAGAAGGCTCTTCGTACCGCGGTCGAGCAGGCCACCCGCCTCCTCTCCTCCCCCGAGGTCGACGCCGGCGCGTTCGGCCAGAACTCCGACATCACCGACAAGGCGAACGCTGACTCCAACGCCGCGCAAGCGGCTGGTACCACCTCCATCAACGCCGGCAACGCGGGTGTGCAAGACCCCAACACCGCGAGCGTCCTCTCTCTCCTCGGCCAGGGTGCGTATTTGCTCTGACACCCTTTGCGTCTTTCCGTGCTCACCCGTCCGCTGTCCAGTCGCCACCGCCAGCGATGGTCTCACTGCGAGCGCCGCCGCTGCGACCGCTCCCGTCACCGTCACCGTCACCGTGACTGCCGGCGCCGCTGCCGCGACGTCGACGAACAAGAGCAGCACGAAGAAGACCGGCGGAAAGAAAGCGGCCGCGCGCGACATCTCTGTCGACGGCCTCCGGATGGTCCGCCGCCATATCTAAGGCGGCTCTCCTGCGTCGGACTGCGTTCATATGCGCGTTTTTTTTGCTTTCCTCATGACTAGCTCAGCTGCCAGCTGTTTGTGCCCCCTCCCTTTCCCTTTCATTCCCACTGCAGCGCACCGGGGTTAGCTCGCGTCCTTTCGCGTTCTTTCTTTACTGCGTTCATTATCTTCTGTCCGCTACCTGTACGCCCTCGCTCGGCTGAAGAATATAGGACTATGGGAAGGCCAAGCCCAGACCAAACTCATCCCTGTGTGTGTGCGTGCGCCCCAACCGCCCTTCATCCTCATCCGCTCTGAGTCCCGAGTTTGAGACGACATCTCGTCGGCCCACATCGAGCGCGATGCGATGTGAGACCACCTGTGCATCAGTCCCTTCGCCGTCCGCAGCAAGTCGAGTCTCGTCGCCCTCCGAAGTTTCATCGATCTCCATGCACTCCCGTCATCACAAGGTACACCTTTTCAAACCCCCCGCACCCCGTCAGAAGAAGAGACAGGTTTGTTTCACGGTCGCTGATGGGCGTCGCGCCCCGAGAGGACGAGGTCGCTCTGGCCAAGGCTGAGACCTCTGCCGCGCTGATGCCGCCGCGCGCTTGATGTTCCCGGGCCCCGGCGCTCGACATAAGTACAAATTCGTCGTCAGAGCGAGCCATGTTACGTACGGCACGGAAGGCGAGGCAGGCCGGTGAGGGATTGCGACAATCGCGTCGTCGTCATCGCCGTCGCCGTCGCCGGCGCGTGAGACCCGGGCAGGCGAGGCGTTGTGTCTTTATCGTCAGCGGTCGCGTGGAGACGGCGTGCGACGGGTGCGATGTTCTGACACTGGTGTCGTCGCTGGGCAGATTGATTCAAAGGTTGGAACTTGGAGCTTGCGGGGTGCGCGGACGGATGTCGTCGGAGAACGGGTCCGGGTGGGGGCTCTAACGGAGACGGTCTTGGCCTAACTGGTGGCCCGCGTAAACTTCGCGCTCGCAGTTCCACAGACGGTAGGCAATGTCTCACCTGCCTGCCCGCCGTCGCGATTTGCTCAGAAACGCAAAACTTGCGTGCTTCCACCTTCCTACACCTGCAGGCTGCTGCGCTGAGGCGGGAATACGTCACGACCTCGCGCCGGCAACTATTCGCATCGCGATCCGCCCGGGTTCCAGAAGGGCTCGCTGCTGTTTGACAGCCATGTTGTTTCACGCCCCAATCCCGCGGAGGGGGAACCAGATCAGCTGCGTTACCGCGTGATCGGCAGCGCCCTCCACCCGCATGGAACCGTCGAGTAGTAGCCCGATACGCGTGTCTCGTCCGCAGACATGGGTGCGGTTCGGCACCGCAACAAGGGAAACGAGACATTTGGCCCGCTGCGTACGTCCTCCCCGGTTATTCATAGCGTGAAGCCCCTCGGTGCTGGACTAGCAAAATCGAGGAGTACCACTGGAGGCCATCCGACGATCGCAAAGGAGTTCTATTGAGTTCGTCAAGAGCGGTGTTCTATCGGGATCCACAAGAACGCACGCGGGACTACGTCTGTGGCGTCGTCCTGCGCGCCCTCTCGCGAGGGCCATCTTCAATGGTCTTGTCTTGGGTGTATCTATGCCAGCGATCCGCGATCCCGTTCTTGGCACCAGCGCGTGTTGCCTGATCCTTCCGCGCCGACTCTGTGCAGGACGGTCGTCGTGGTCTAGATTCCAGCACACGGGCTTCGGATGGCACCCACTCTGCTGCACATCTCATCCGTTCGCCTTCTGAGCATCCCTGGTCTCCGGCATTCACCCAGAACGTCTGCACCGCGGCAGTCGCTCACTCGTCCACGTCCGGGTGCCGCGCTTGGCACCCTGGCTCCCCAATCCATGTATTGCGCGGCAGCGGCGCAGAGACCACCACGGCGCACGCGCTCAGCGTCGCGAGCACGACGTACACGCCGCACCCGCCGAGCCACGCGCGCTCGAGCGCGCGCGCGAACAGCGCGGTCGCCGCCGCGGGCCCGAGCGCGCGCGAGACGGAGGCGACGACCTGCGCCGCACCGTTCACCGCGCCGAGGTTGCGGTCGTCGGGCGCCGCGGAGCGGATGTACATGAACACCGCGCCTGGGGGGGAGAGCGGCGCGTTAGCACGGCGGTCGGCGGATGGGTGGACGGGCATGGGCGAGACGACGGAGCGGCACGCTGTTTCCGGTGTGCGTCGGATCGCGCGCGGGCGGACGGCCATGTGCATCGCGGACGCAGGCCGGGCGTAGCGGCACGCCCTCTGCGCGTCGTGGAGCGAGGACAGAACGCAAACACGGTATTACTCACCGTACGCCATGTTCGTGAGACAGACCAGTACGAGCTGTGCGCCTAGGAGCGCCATCGTCGCAGCGCGGACGCCGCCCGCAGCGCGCGCGGACGCAGCGACCGCCGGGAAGAGCGCGAAGAGCGGGACGAACGCGGCGAGAGCGGTCTGCAGTACGCGCTTGGCCCCAAACCTGTCGACGAGCGGGGCGAAGACGAGAACCTGTATGACGCCGTTGGCGAGTCCGGCCGCGCAGAGCAGCGTGCCGATTGCGGGAGGTCCGAGCCCGAGCCCACCGAGCGCAAGTGGAGTCGCGCAGAAGAGCGGCAGGAGTGAGACGAAGGCGATGTCGGCGAGCGCGAGCGCCCCGTAGGTCGCGATAGAGAGTACGACGGGGCGGGTGAGGATTGTGCGGAGCGGCGGCGTGGCGTCCGCGTCTGCGTGGGGCGCAGCATCATCTGCCAGGGGGGACAGAGCGGGGCGTTTAAGACTCTGGAATGGAGAGCGTGTTTCAACGCGGAGCGCGGCGGCGACGACAGTAGGGGAAAATACACACTTCTTTGAGAAAGAGCGCTGCAACGAGGCAGCAAGAACCGGAGAAGGAGGCGGCCGCCAGGCAAGGGAGAAAGTATGCGTACTTCCTCCAGAATGGGTGGGTAAAGAGGGACGGCCACCGGTCGTGGGGTCTCGCCAGCTGACCGCCGATGAATGGTCTGCAAGTGTTCTGTCAAAATGTGGACATGCGTTGAAGGGAAGACAACACGGACGCGATGGTGATGCCGACTGCCCATGAGACCGAATGCATGGCGAAACCTTGCGCCATGTTTGTCGAGTCCGTGATCTCTGCGCGCATCCAACCTCTTCAGAACATGTCGCACTGACTTGGGCAACGAGCTCACCTCCCATCATGCTTTTCATGATACCGGTGTTTCCGTTGAGTAGCCCGACGAGACTGCGACTACCACCCAACTCTCCATTAGAAATGGGTTGAGGTTGCGAACAAATGTATTATCTTACCTGACAATCAAGCCCAGCAAAGTACGCGACAGGCCAAAGCAGATCATCGAGAGTCCCGCACCTGCGAGACCAATGAGCAGAACGGGCTTGCGTCCAATTCTGTCTGAGAGTCGTGCCCATTGGAAAACGAATAGCGCCTCGGTGACGAAGAATATGGAGTCCTAGAGAGATAAACTCACGTCAGCGATGAGGCCTGTCAGGGATGTCAAAAATGCTCACGATAAGCCCGACGTAGTAGCCGACTTTTCGCTCGTCGCCGCCAGTGACGTTAAGGTCCGACACGAGCTGTGCATGAATTAGTCATGGGTGAGAGTAAATCGACGAGGCGACCCACCTGGTTCACGTAGGGGAAAATAGAATGACTGGTCATGGGCTCTGCGATCTGCACGAGCATGAGAATGCCCACTTGCAGCGCAGGAAGAGGCGTCTTCTTCCGGGGTTTGTGGGCCTCGTGGTCAACCCCATGTTCGGTCAACAGGGGAGTGATCTCGCTGGGCATGTCGGTTCAGGCGCTTGGAAGCCACGAAGTAGGTGAAGGGGTCGTCAGTATCGGTCTATGGAACTTTATACTACTGTTCGGCGGTTCGATGGTGCGCAGCCAGTGTCAGATTGCCGCCAACTTGACGCGGTTCCATGCCGCGTACGTAGTGATTTGGTAGAGAGCGTTGAGGCGTCCAAAGACCGACCTCTAATCGCTTCCGTCAAGCGTCCATCACGGAACGTGGACTTGAAGGTCAGTCCTTGAAAACAAGTGGTGCAAAGGAGTGCCCGTTACGGTGACGCACTTGAATTGTGTAGTTGCAATACGGTGGATGAGTTGCTTGCTCGAACGGTGACATCAGGTTCAGGTTCAAGGTGCGCAGGTGGAGAACTTTGACTCCACTGGACGAACGCTCGGCCAAGTCTAACTCAATTAGGCTACAAGCATAAGCACTGATTAAGGGATGGCTGATCGGTCTAGGGCGCCATACCAGGGACGCGGGTTCGAGTCCCGCTCTCACAATAGTCTAAGCATCAAGTGTATTTCTTTCCCCCGCATATCCTGCGCTACATATGCGCGTTGCAACGGGCACATCATTTTCTGTGGTAACATGGATCGCACCGTCAGCACAAAGCTAAGCCAATAAGACCAAAGTACCGAATTGTAACTTGGGCGAGGTGATGTAGACGCGGAGAGGGCATATACCGGGCTGCTAAGTGCGATTCGTTCGTATGATAGACACCATGTACGTATTGCAAGCAAAGCTTGGAATCCAACTGTGTGGGACCGAGACTCTTCTTTCTGGCTTCTCTGAGTTGAGTGAGATCACTAGCTTTATGAAAAGGCTCGACATGATATTTACTCTCAAATCCCTTAGGAGTAAATATCGTAAACCCGCGGACGCCTAAGAACCAGAATACATGATGTCTTCTTCGCTTATTCTCCACTTTATCCTCCACTCCGCCATTTTCATCGCCCGGTTCGTGAGGTCATAGGATGGACCTCGTAGTGAGGCACTGCCAAACAATCAGTCTACGCGTCTCGTGTGCCCTAACCCCAAGCCCACTCACCTCTGCGCTCAAACGATGATAGCAAAGTCGACGAACGGGCCGCCGTTCACGTTGAAGCACTGGTTCACCGTCGGGATCTGCGCGAAGCTCGCGCACCCGGGCGGCCCGACGAGCACGCCGAAGGGCAGGCCCTCGTTGCTCGGCTGGCTGATCGCGACGCTGTTGAACGAGCTCGTGGTGAGGCAGACGTCCACGGGCAGCGTGCTCAGGTCGAAACCAAAGCAGCTCGCGCAGTTGACGCCCGGACAGAGCAGGAGCGTCGCGGGGAACGTCGCCTCTGCCGCGTCGGCGGTGGGCGACTTGGCGAAGAAGGGCGCGGGCGTCGTGCCGACGAGCGCGGAGGCCGGGAGGGGGCCGAGCGAGGAGGCGAGGTCGTGCAGGGGGAAGGAGGCCGCGGTCGTCACGCCGGAGGCGGAGGCGAGGGGGTGCACGCTGGCCTCGGAGGCGGGGAGCGGGTTGGCGCAAGCGGCGGCGACGAGGGCGACGGTGATGAGGGCAATGGAGAACATTGTGGGTTGGATGTGGGGGGTGAGTGGGTGTGGTGTGCGTCGAGGGGCTTGCGAGAGCTGAGGATGTGTCGAGGCGAGAGGCGGCTGCTTCTTGCTGTCGTTGTCGCCGTTCAGCGAGGTCTTTATACCTCCGGGACGCGTTAATTTGCGAGATATTCTGTGACCACTCAGAGTCATGAGACCAGTGAGCCCTTCGCCTGGACAGGTCTCGGTGAGGACAGGCTTACTGCTTGCGGCCCACGACTCACCAGTGCTCATTACAGGGCGGCGGGATTTGGTATAGACGTTGTCACGTGAACCTTGAACACTACGAGGTGGACCTTGCTTCTGCATACATATGACAACGGCCCGGCCACCTGGACATTCATCAGTCAGGGACCGACATTTTGCATAGGTACGTACTGGCGGTGCACATTCCCACTATTGACAATCCGATGTCAACGGCATCCAACGTTTACCCCAGCATATGGTAGTGCTCTGTACGGGTTAGGTTGAATACCTCCACGAACATTCTCGTGAAATCCAAGGCACATGAGTCCTCGGGGCCAATCGGAGGCAGTGTCATGATGCCTTGAGTGCGAGAAGACACGGCCCTTGTTCATCGTCCGGGATGTCGCATAAGTGGGTCGTCAGGACGGCTGAAGTGATAAATTTGAGGATTTTACCAGACGTTGCTGCGTTGCCGTCAAACCGCGGACTCTTCGTAAAACTGACTCCTACTCACCTCGGGCTCTGGTCGTGCACAGGAGAGAACAGGGCTGATCTCCGGCAGTCTTGAGGGTTTCAAAGCTTTGGATGTTGTTGCTGCCTACTGGATTATCGTCCGCGTTCAATGTGGCCGTTGACTCAGCAGAAGTGCTTCCTGACAGATCGTCGCTTTCACAGGGATGTCGTAGAAGTGGCTTTCATGGGGAGTCTAGGCGTACGTCGCTGGCGGCCGGGGTCCAGTTCGGAAACAGCTCCCCATAGGCCGCCGCTGGAAGTGCATGGGAAGTTACAATCAGTATGTCAAAGCACTACCACACGATGACAGCGCAATACACTCAACGACATGGACATCGGTCGGCGCAGCGAGCAGTCATCTGAATCAGACCTAATGCGAGTGAATACGAGTGGTGCAATGTGCGTTGAAGCTCACCTCGAGGAAGATGTGCAAGAGCGGGAAATGGAGGTTGGGTCCGACAGAAAGGACACTTTCACTCGAAGGAGTCATCCCCGCCCAGGCTCGCCCACGGAACGTCCGTTCTGGTAACTCCGCGCTCTAGTTCGACGACGGCACATCCTCGGCATGACCAGCCCTCTGCGCGTGCAGAACGCTGGCAGAACGTACCTGAATGCACCCTGATCGAAACTTGACCGGTGACCTCGCTGCGTAAGAAGATTTCTCGCGCGAAGCCCTTGTGAGCGGCGCGCCGATGCCTGCGCGACGTCGAGGCCGCGCTCGTCGCACAAGAGACAGGCGCCAGCGTTTAGCGCCGTCCCGCGAGGGAATAACGATCCAGAGGGGAGGAAGAGAATGTTACAATAAACATTTCTTCTTTCATGGTTATCAAAGGCGTCGTCCTATGTTTCATCGTACCCATCGCTTGCGAGTCGAGGTTGCAATAAACCTACTAGAGACGTTCGCCGGATGGTCAGCCACCCCTCGTCGATATCAAAGCACTGGTTCGTCGTCGGATCGGCGCGAAGTGCGTCAACGCGGTCGGCCCCTGACCGGGACCACCGCGAACGGCAGCCCCGCGTTGCTCGGCTGGCCGATCCCCACACTCGAGAACGCGAGCCGAGGAGCTCGTCCGTCGAGGGCGTGCTCAGGTCGAACGCGAAGCAGCTCGCGTAGCCCGTCGACGCTCGCGCTCGCGTCCTCGGGGGACTCGTGCCGGCGGGTGCGGACGTAGGGCTCGTCCCGAGGCCTGAAGAAAAATCTGATGGCGTGACTGGTGACCGGTGAAGTCGGATGGGGGTATAGTGAATGAGGCGGATATGCGTGGTGTCGGCTCGCGAGGAGATCTATGTGTCGAGGCGAGAAGCTGCTGCTTTTCTGCGTATGTGGCAGTCGCGAGCGTGGGGCCCACGCATCGCAAAGACTGGAACGCCGCTTGTATTTCAGGACGCCGGGGTACCGCTGCATGTCCAGTGTGCAAGTAAGCTTCGGGACCATTAACAGATCGTCACCTTCAGGACAAAGGACGCATTTCCTCCATAGTAACTCTAGTGAGCAGGCCATAGTCGGTACTCCAGAAATTGGTTTACTTCCTTGGGAATGGTTGGAAGTGGAACCCGAGAAATATTTCAAGACAATTCGATATGGCGGGAAAGGAATGGCCTGCTTCATAGGGACAAAATGAGCCTCCGTCCGGATCACACGCATCGTGCATTGATGCTGCGCGACGCGAGATAAAGAGAAACGGAACGTGGGTCTGACGGAGAAGGCAGAAATCCATCACCAAGATCCCCATGGACGGCATCCAGGTCCCAATAGCCCATCGCGGGACGCCCTCGGGGAGAGCTTCGCGGGCCAAACGCTGAAGGAACGTACCTGGGCGCGTGCTAATCCAGTGGATCCCGAGCTTCGGCATAGCCTGCAGAAGGCTCTGGATTGCTGGATTGCAATGAGCGCGACAAACGCCCTGCCACCTGATCCTACAATGCCGTCGGCGGCGGAGCGTCCTCGTCCACCTTTTCGCCTTTGCCCTTCACTTCGCCTTCGCCAAGCCTCTCGCCAAGCCCGTCAAGCAGCTTCTTCAACTCCTCTGCCTCCTGTACCAGTAGTTGCACGCTGACCTCCCCGCCCTCTTTCTCCTTGGCTTTCGGCGGGGCCGGCGACGGCTCCCTCCACGCCGTGCGCTCGACTGCGTCCGTCACCACCGCCTGCCACGTCGTGCCCTCGGCACGAAGGAGCGCGGCGAGCTCGTCCTTGATCTCCCGCGCCGCGCCAGGGCCGCGGTAGCCGAACACGGTGTATAGCTGCACAGCGGCCGCACCTGCGCGGGCGAACTCGAGTGCGTCGGCCCCGGAAGAGATTCCGCCGCAGCCAATAATGGGGACCGAGGCGGGGAGTTCGGCACGGAGGGCACGGAGGGTCGCGAGCGATAGTTGCTTGAGCGGAGGGCCAGACAGGCCGCCGACTTCCTGCTTGTTCGCTGAAAAGACGGCGCTAAGAACACGGGACGGGGAACGGGACCAGAGAGGGACGTACGGGCCATGAGGCTGGAAGGGCGCTGAATGGTAGTGTTGCTGACGATCACTCCGTCGACGCCGCCTATAGAGCGAACGGCCTCCGCGACGCCAGCGACTTCTTCCGAGGACAGGTCTGGAGCGATCTTCAGGAGGAGCTTTGGTCGATGGGAGTGCGGGGACAGTGCTGCCACCTCGTCTCGCGCTGCCGTAACCCCGGCCAGAAGCTCTTGCAGCAGCGTCCGACTTTGTAGACTTCTGCGCACGGAATGACGTGGGTGAGAGTGGAAAACACAAAAACAGACGCATATACGCACCTAAGCCCCGGGGTATTAGGACTCGACACGTTCACGACCAGCGCGTCTGCATACGGCCCGAACGCGTGCGTCCCTGTGACGAAGTCCACAATCGAGTCTGGGGGAGACGACTTGTTCTTGCCCAAGTTCACCGCAAGAAGGGCATTCGGACGCAGCGACGCGTGCTCTTCGACGTGCAAGGGAGACTCCAGTGTTGAGGAGGTGGAGTATGAAAAGAGGGTTGGCAGGCGTGCGCGCAATCGAGCAAGTACTGACGCGTGTCCTTCCGACGGAAACCCGTAGCGGTTTATGAGCGCGTCGTCTTCAGGTAGGTGGAAGACACGTGGTTTCGGGTTGCCGGGCTGGAACAAAGTCAGGGTGGGATGAGCAGGAGCGTGACAGAACTAACGCACCTGAGGTTTTGGGGTGATGCTACCAATCTCCACCCAGCTGAAACCTAGGTTGAAGAGACCTAATGCCGAAAAACATACCAATAGAACTATGGAGCAAGCGACCAACGTACGACTCACCGTCAATGGCCTCTCCATTCTTGTCAAACCCAGCAGCGAGCCCTACAGGACTGCTCATTTCCTCGCCCCACAACTGTCCCCGAGAAGCAACGTTCATACCAAGGTATGCAATCTGAGCGCATACACGTACCTCCACCTTCAGGACTTCATCGTCAACCACAGGGTCGCGTGGAGCAAGCCCAGAGCTTAAGACACGGACCGCGAGCTTGTGCCCGGTCTCAGGGTCAAGCGTATGACGAATGACTGGGGTTACAATATACTTGTGCAGTGCGGCACGACAGTCCAGATAGTAGATGGCAAAGAGGCCAGACGTCACAACGAAGAGAGACGCATAGACCGCATTCCGCGCGGTAGAGCTGGACGGTATAGGTGCTGTTGACGCTGGACGACGCTGGACGAGAACTTTGGAGAAGCCGGGGCGGGTTGTAGCGCGAGCTGTGAAGAGCAAGCGAAGATGGGCGGACATGCGGAGGTGGGGTGCACGTGTAGACGATAGTCGACGGTGAAGAGGATGAGACAACACACATGGACGCGCCGAACGGATACGTCATCAATTCAGGACAAAAGAGATCTCTCTGTCGGGGAGTCGAACCCCGCTTTCGCGCGACCAAGACACTATGCTGTTGACAGGCGCGTGTACTAACCGATATACTAACAGAGAGTGACGAAAATGGACTGACATTGTAATTGTAAGGCATTGTAACCAACATTTTGCACACTTTGTCACTGTATTCAAATACTAACCCACTTGCTTTTGGACCCTTCCTGTTGGCATCCCACAGACCTCCCCATGCTGTATTTTGTTGAACATGGGTATCACCAAACATGTTATGATCAACGTATTACGGAGATGTGGTGGATCGGTGATCGGTATTGTTTTTGCTTTCCTGGAACTACTAATGGCGCTCCACTTCATTCAAATCTCCTGTAATGCCTTTAAATGTTTGGCGTGTATTCCCACTTTCCCTTCGCCGATCGCGAAGCCCCGCGTGTGATCGGCGCTTTGCTTGCACACGGAAAAGCAGATAATATGTTCTGTTATCGTGAATTCTCTAGGCTGCGCACACTGACGTCATGTCGTGGTGCATTTCTGTCCCAGATCTAGACTCTGCAGAGTTCAGTGCACGTGACTGTGCAAGAGTCCTCAGTCCTGCAACGCCCAGGAGTCGCTCGCACTCATGGCCCTCGCGCGCGCTGGCTGCCGTGCCTCCACCGCGACCGCTCATGGACGCGCGCGCGGGTGCGGCGGCGGCGTTCCGGAGGACCCGCAGTTCACACCTGTAGAGGAGACGTGGCGCGCTGACCGCGAGGTGCGCGAGTGCGAGCTCGAGCGTACACGAGCGGGCCTGCGAGTGCACGAGTCCTCCCACACACTACTGCTAATGCCCAGTCACAGCTGGAGTCGCTCATGCTGAAGGTGCGCGCCGCAACACCGCGCCCGCCGCCAACATCCAACGCTTCCGCGCCCACAACGCGATCAGGCTCATCGTGCACGGCGCCCGTGCTCGTTGGCCCTCGCGCTCTGGCGCGCGTTTGGCGCATGGTTCCGACGTATGCGCGGGTGTGGCGGCGGCGGCAGCGTTCCGGAGGACCCGGGCCGTGGGAGTTCACGCCTGTACATGGACTCGCGCGCGAACCGGGAGGTACCTGGGCGCGCGTTCTTGCAGCGCACGCTTTTGCGCTAATCGCGCGACTTTCCTTCGCGGCAGTGTGTGCGTGCCACACACGATCATGGTCAATGCGATCGTGTTCGCTCTCGGGGTGCAGGAGCACGCCAACTAAAGGTGTGGGCGGTGTGCCACTCCCCCGGTCGTCATTATGGCCTGTGAGGTGCTCGCAAACCCGTTCGGCGCGTCTGTTCGCGTCCCAGCAGGGCGCCGCGCGAAGCACGGCGGATCTTGTGTAATTAAATGACTAGAGCTGTCTCACTTAGATAGTGTAGGTGGTTTACAAACCTCTGTCTGTCTCTCAACAAACATGCACAACTCTACAGGTAGAAGTTGTCTCCAATGCTGGTACCAAGATTTAGCAGTGCCTATGTGGGGGTTTAGTGTATAACAGATCTATTCGGGCGTTTGAGTTGGGCGAGCGAAGCGAGATGAATTCGGATCGCGTCGCCGCCGCTCTCTCGCGGGACCTCGGTGAGAGCGCGGTGTCAGCGCGCCCCGACGGTGGGGACGCAGACGTGCGCTCTCGGCGACGGGAACGAGGCGCGGCGCTCCCGAAGACGGGGAACGCGACGCGACGCTCCCGGCCCGAGGCCGAGCTCAGGCCAAAGCGGGTGCGAAGGGAAGAGCCGGAGGCTCGAAAGGCTGAGCTTGAGGCTCGGCCAAATGAAGTTGATGGGAAAGGTGGAGAATCCGGTGTGGGGCGACGTCGATGTACAGCTTGTACGCGTCGCTCCTCCATCGGCCAAGTTGTTGGATCTCGTGATCCGCGTACCCTACAGCAGCGGCAGAAGTTGCTGCACCGCGGCGGAAACTGTGGCCAGAGTATTTGCTGCTGTCAAGACCGGCAGAGGCAAGGCGTAGCTTCAGGTCCGTGATGAACTCCGCTCGTGAGAGGGCGATCCCACCCAGTGTTCCGGGAAAGAGGGGTGCAGTCTGACTGTGATCGGCCTCGAGATCAAAGAGACGTCCGAGAGCCTGCACCGGGCAGGTAGGGGTGCCGGGTGCTGCTGCGACCAAGACAGAGATGCCCTTGCGGAAGGGATCGGTCTTTGATGCTGGGAGGGAGAGCACGAGATGGGTGGGGATTGCGCGGGAGGGGACGAACTGGATGCAGCGCCGCGATAGATGGACGTCCGGATTGAACTTGGACGAAGGGGAGTCGACAGTGAACTCACCACAGCGCAGGAATGCTGCGAATGCCAGCGTGGAGGCAGCATGGAACACAATGTCGGAGGGTGCAGTGGAGGTGTCGAGCCCCCACTCGGTGGCAGTGCTGTAGCCCGTCGGTAACGCCCATACGAGGTGCCCGCGTTGCCGTCGGTAACGGCCATACGAGCTCGTACGAGCTCTGGTAATGTAGCCGTCAGTAACGGTCGTACGAGATGTGGGGGGCAGGTAGTTCCCCTTGATAGCTTAGTGCTTTTCCAACTCTCCTACATACCCTAGTACATTGTAATTGGTACAACAACAATGAAAACGATATTCTACAGCCCCTGGGAAGCCAATACCGGGCTGATATAGCAGGGGATGCTGGTTCCGGTAGTGGCACGTCCCACTGCCTACATTGCGCCCTACTGCACCGTACGTTTCGGTAATGCGTTCGCTACGTTCCCCTGGGTCATACGAGCTCGGAACAGTCGTTTTTATCACCGTGCGTGCTGTGGTTGGAGCGGGGCATTGAAAACACTGCCCAGACTCGTACGAGCCTGTAGCCGTCTGTCACGGTCGTACGAGGCACCTCCGGTGTGCACCCGGAATATTGCGGTAATGGATTCGGCAGATGCGCGTTACTGTACCGAACGCAGCGCACTCAATTTCGTTGCGATGCGTGCCATGGTTGGCCTGGGGTAACAAAAACGCTGCCCAGGCTCGTACGAGCCTGTAGCCGTCTGTCACGGTCGTACGAGGCACCTCCGGTGTGCACCTGTAATATTGCGGTAACGGATTCGGCATATGCGCGCGAGTGCACTGAACGTAACGCATCAAATTCCATTGCTGTGCATATCGTGGTTACAGAGGGAGGGTCAGAACAGTGCTCAGGCTCGTACGAGCCTGTACCCTGTCTCAGACGGTCGTACGAGTACCTCCGGGAGAGCGGACACCCGGAAATCTCGGCAATGCATGGCGTGCATTGCCGAAGGTTACCGGAACGCAGCAAACCTTATTTCGTCGCTTTGCGCACTGTAGTTAAGGTGGGAGAGTCGAAACAGTGTGCAGGCTCGTACGAGCCTGTACCCTGTGTGAGACGGTCGTACGAGTTGTTCCCTGGTGAACCTCGTTTTTTTTGGTAATGCTTTCGGTAGATGCGCACGGATACGCTGAGAATAGCGAACTCAATTTCATTGCTGTACCTGGTGTAGTTAAGGAGGTATTGTCGAAACAGTGTGCAGACTCGTACGAGTCTGTACCCCGTCTGGAACGGTCGTACGAGGTGCTCCTGGTGGGTATCAAAAATTTCCGGTAATGCATGCAATACATTGCCGGAGATCACTGGAACACAGCGCACTTTGTTTTATTGCTGTGCGTGGCATGGTCAAGGTGGCGGAATTGAAACACTACAAAAGCTCGTACGAGCTTGTACTCCGTCTGAGACGGTCGTACGAGTTGTCCCCCGGTGAACCTCGTTTTTTTCGGTAATGCGTTCGGTAGATGCGCACGGGTGTGCCGAGAATAGCGCACTTGATTTTAGTGCTGTATATGCTCTGGTTGTGGCAGCGGAGTTCAAACAGTGCAAACACTTGTACAAGGTGTCCTCCAGTAAACACCCACTTTTTCCGGCAGTGCATTCATTGCCGAGATTCCGGCAGTCCCTCCATTACCGAGATTCCGGCAGTCCCTCCATTACCGAGATTCCAGCAGTCCCTCCATTACCGAGATTCCGGCAGTCCCTCCATTACTGAGTGTTTGGTCATCTGTGTGTATTACCACTCTCACAACCGAGGTTTTGACCACCTGTGCATATTACCGCTCTCACTGCCGAGTTTTTGATTGCCTGTATTCATTACCGAGTTTTTTGCACCCATTGCCGAGTTTTTGATCACCGGTATCAATCAGCAGTCCTCATTACCGAGTTTTTGACTGCCTGAATCCATCACCGAGTTTTTGGTCACCTCCGGACTTCAATGCCGAGTTTTTGACCACCGGTATCCATTGCTTGTCCTCATTACCGAGTTTTTGGACACCTCCAGCCTTCAATGCCGAGTTTTTATTACTGAGGTCTGTAATCCCGGTGCTCACTGCCAGTGCTCTTGCTGACCTCTGGCCTTCAATGCCGAGGTTTGAATACCGAGATTGGTAATCCCGGTGCTCACTGTTGGTCCTCTGGCCTTCAATACCGAGTTTTTGTTACCGAGGTCGGCAATTGTGCTACCAGTGGTGCTCACTGTCTCAAACAGCGAGCTCACTGTCAGACACAGTGAGCTCAACATGTTACCCATCTCTGTATCTGTCCCTCATTTTTTTGGAATGCACCTCTGCATCACATCTGAATGTATTGCAGCACATTACAGCATATTTATATGAGTTGGTCTGCCTGTACTGAACACCTTCTACCTGAGAAGTCACCCTTCACAGCAGCATGTGTAGATGTTATTTCACCTCGCTGTTTTTTGGATCAGGGAGGAGCATGCAAGAGCTGTGGGTTTGCAAATTTGGAGGGCAGTAGCTGCAAAAGTGAGAGAACAGTGTGGTATGATATTTTAAAATGACATACCACACACAGAAATGGGATGGGAGTGTATCACATTCCGAACACCTGGATATATTTATAGACGATATTATGAATGCAATGCAGAAG